CTAAGCGTTCGCGTCAAAACTGAAGTACACTTTAGGTTATACGTTAAAGACCCAATTATATGGCTTGACGAGCACAATTTTCCTTTCATCGTTATCATATTTCCCATTGAAACAGGAATTTGGAGAATAACCATTAGTCATTCAGTTTACATCACAGCTATGAATCATGATTAGCTACTTATTATTGACAGTCAGTTACAGATGGTATTGGGGGAGTAACATTGTCACTCTAGAGAGCATTTTTATTGGTCAAAAGTTGGGACACGCCCATGAGTGCAAGGTGATGTCAACGTTTTTATTTTAGTAGGAGAAAGACTGTAGATTTGAAATGTGTATATATGTTAAAAGTTTGCCTTGTCAGCTTTTAGGTGTACACTAATGTGTTGACCTATGTAATTCTATGAGAACAGAATTCTTAATATTCTTAATAATTACAATTACAAACCCAAACTTGACAAAAAAGATGACCCAAACATGGTCAGAATCCTGACAGTGTATTATTGGGCTTGGATCGGCTATCGGACCTTTAGTGTCTATGCTTTGGATGGGTTTGACCCTTTATTTGTGTTATTTTATACATGAAACACCTTTAGTCAGAGATCTTGCTGATGCTCCACTGCTGCGGGGTGGAGATGCCATCCAAATAAATCTCCATTTGATCCATAATGAGCGGAGACTAAATCTCTCTCCTCACACCCACCAGACACTCCTCAACACAATCTCACTGCTTTCTTAGCACCGCATTCATTCAGTGATCAACTGCTGAGGAAACATTCAGTCAGAGCCACACTACAGCTGACAGAGAGCGCCGTCTCACCCTGCCCTCGAATTTTTCAATGTTTTTGTTTGTTAAAGCTGCAGAAAATCAGACATGTTAGGCCATGTGTTTGTGGCAGAGTAGGACACAGATGTGTTCTCACTCAGGGATTTTTAAAGAAAGAGCAGTTGTTGTGTATATATGGGGGCTGAAGCTGACATGCACCATGGGATATATACACCTCAACAGCTGCAACAGAAAATAATGTCTGTACTGCATGAGATAGGCTACAAATGGCCTTTTGTGTGGGTTCATATTGTATTAATCAGAGATTAACACGTGTAATTTTGCTATGGCGAGTGACCCGGAAAATGTCTCAGACCATTGTGTGACAAGATATGCTATTTCTTAGATGCAGAGATGTGTGCTTATAGAAATGGCTTTGATTTATATAGTGAAGAACAGACAAAACTGTCAATAACAAGCTTTTCAAAGAACATACATATGAGGAATTTATTCCACCTTCTGAGTTTAGATGTTATATTGTGTCTAATATTTGGCCGATTACCTAGCTAGGTGGTTGCTAGGGTGTTGCTAGGCATTTGTTTGTTTTGCTAAGTTATGTCTTGCTTAGTCTCGCATAGCCAGACCTTCAGACTGATTCTTTGAATGGCCAAGGCCCGCCATATGACTGACAGATAAAGCAACCAATCACGTTTCGTTTTGTGTCGCGTCATGTTTGAAATGTCCCACAATAACAAACCGTGTGTAAAACACTTGGACAAATTTTAAAAAGTCTATGACTTTAGAACTTTACTTATTTCACATACTTTTGAAAATCCAGCTTTTATTTGATCGTGATAAGCGCTCATTGTCACAGTTGTAAACAAGACGGCTTTCTTCTAACATGAGGAGGTTTGGCGTCACGGCATCTTTGTTTCCAGACGGAACATTAAAGAACACGACACACACGTCTCCCGGAAATCCTGTATAATTCAACCAATCCGATGATGACGACTTCGAAACTCCCAAAGTGTTTCCAATTTTGTGTGCTGTATGCATCAGACGTTTAGCCAACGGTCCGTGGGCGTGACGTCTGAGGCTGAGACTAGGTCTTGCTAGGCAGTTGTAAGGTTGTTAGATGGGCATTGCTAAGGATGTTTTTCTGGGTAGTTGATAGGGGTGTTGCTATGCGGTTTTGGGTTTCTGGTAACATGGTTGATAGGGTGTTCTGGATAGTTGCTAGGAGGTTGCTAGGGTGTTTCGTCTTTCAAAAAAAGCATCTGGATGGTTTGGAAAATATTAGCACATTTGCACAGTAAAGGTATCATTCTTGTCTGTAGCACAACAAGTTTAGTACTTCAATAGATTAAGCAATAGACATAGTTGTCGAGTGTAATGTCAGCGTTGGCTCATGAATTATTTGCACTTTTGCGCCTGTGTATTAAACAGCTGAATTGCTAACAGAGAGTGTATCTCTCCTCCCTTGAAGTGCAAGATGACGTTTACATGCTACATTCTACAGATGTGTGTTTGTGCTCGTGTGAAACTTCTGTCTGTCTCTAGAGGTTTACTCTTCTTACTATCAATACATTTGCAATGATTTATTAATGGCAACATTGCACAGTAGTAGTTTCAATAAATAATTAAAAAAAAACTGGCTAATAGCACCTGCTAGTGTTAAGAGAAAGCACCACGCCTGCACAATAACAGTGCGCTTGTTCCTCAGGACATATTCCCAACAGCTCGCAAAACACAAAGAGGATGATGAGAGAGAGGAATGGGATAATTCCAGTAATCATAGCTTTCGGAGGACGCGCTCCGAAGGGAGGAGACAGGGAAGTTATAGATGTTTCTGGGGTGGGTCTGCATTCATTTCTGAAGCAGTGGGTCTGGACATGTGTGAATGTATGCTATGAGTTAAAAGATCCAAGAGTGTGACAGCGATCCACCCTAATCTCAAACGCAAGCCTGCTGTGAGTCAAGTCGCAATGCTAGAATATATCTTTTTCTGTACTAACACGAATGCAGTGAGCTTAAGTCCAAACCGACTAGCCCAATGCGTCTGGCACCTGTTGATTCCTCTGCGATTCATCTTTCACGTCTAGTACTCTGTTGTCATGGTAACCGCGGGCTGCGTTGAGAAGTGTACCCTGAGGCCACGGACTTGATTTAGTAAGATCGAGCCTGGTCGAGGTACAGGAGACAAAAGAAGATTTGTTTTGCTCTCCGCTCTCTGCACGCGGGCCAACAAGGTAGCATTCCTCCGATTCAGTACGGATGGTAATGGGGCAGAAGAATGCTTCAGAGTTGGCCAACACTGTTTGAGAGTTTTTGAAGAACAGAAAAACAGTAGATCAAGAGGCTTACAAGAGCAGGTGGAAAGAAAACGGATATCAAACTTTAGAAGATTCAAGGTTGGGACTTCACTTTTTATTATTATTTTTTTTTTAATAACCTGTGCCTCTAGGTTTTGTAATCTATGTTGTCGGAAGATGTACACATTACAAACTCTGTTTGTGGCCTAAATATCAAATGACTCATGCAAGTTGGTGTTCTCAGGGTGGTTTCTAATTATTTATTTAGATGGCTCAAATGCCAAGTGGCTTCTTTCAGAAGCGTACATCTCACTTTATTCTGTCTCTGGGTGTTAAAAATAGTTGTGTGTGAATGTTATGGAAATGTTAATTTCACCCCAAAATCAAAATGAAAAAAGTATTAGAAATAACTTAGATGTTTTACATGCAGAAATGTATATTTTCATTACAATATTGACAATTTGGGAAGGAAACAAAATTTCCCATTGAAACAGGAATTTGGGGAATAACCATTAGTCATAATCAACCAAAGCGATAGTGACCACGTAATAAAAACCTTTACTCACACTTGTGTTGCGACATTACTGTCGGATCCGATATATTCACAGCATCGTCTTTTAGATTAAATCTTTCTGAAAATCCTGTGTCGAATTGTGCCTTGTTTGTAAACTAATCTGTGGTAAAATGAAGTGAACAAATTACTAAGTTCTTACTGAAACAGGTGTTGATCTTCTGTGGAGGCGGGGTTTAGCCACACTATTACGTCATAAAGTGGCACATTCCACAAGCTGTCGTTTTGGCAGATTGGCTTCAATATATGAGCTGTTTTTAGACTAATAAGAAAGATTTGAGTTCTGAAACTAACAGGATGTTTTTATAGTACAATGTCCTCTTATATGTCAAAAGATCAAGGGGATTTTGATTTCTCAGTTCATGACCCCTTTAATTCTATTCATTCTCTTTTAAGCATGACTTTAAGGCCTGGAGATAGAGCATCCATCACTTGGTATTTGGCAGCTGCTAAATGGTCTGCTTAGTACTGCTATTAAATGTTTTCATAAGTTAATGCGGTAGACTTTACCATAGAATTTCCTCACAAAGGGTGTAATATGCAACAGTCAAAGTGCCCAGAACCAACATGTCTCGCTTATAATAATCTCACAAACAGCGGTTCATTCAATATCTGCATGGCTGAAGCATTTGGATACTACACCTTACCTTAGCAGCGCCATCTGTTCCTGCTGAGGGGCTTCAAAGTGGAGTCAGACACACATGCAAGCACATGCAGTCTCTGAACAACTACGTTCTGCCTGTCTGTTCCCTTAAGCATTCATCTGCCAAAATGCCTTTGAAGAGAGCCAGCAGTGCATTTAATTGGAGCAGAGCTATGAGTCTATCAACCTCCTGCTAATAATAACTCTTGAAATTTGCTTACCCACTGGAGCTGATGTTCAATCACGATTTCATGTCTCATGGCTGGGTTGGAGCAATCAGGTAGAAACAATTAACGTAGAAAATATCTTGAGTTTTCTTTATGGATGTATTTTGGACCTTATTTGAGGAGTTTTGTCTACTCAAGTTCTGAATTCCATAGATGATTTTTTAACTAAGTATTTCAGTACTTAAAGTTGGGACAGGGGATTCTTGTGCACTGTTTGGTTAACTATTCTATGCATATGTCTGTCTTTGGCCATTATATTACATCTTGTAGACTTGTACCATCGCTTTTTAAGATGTTGTGTCAAGTTAAAAATATTATTTAAAAAATCAAAAGACTGCTGTTTAGAATCAGGCCTGCAAGGTATCACAGAAAATGAGGGGTTTTTAATTGTCCTCATTTTTCGCTCTTTGTTGTAATGTAATCTTTTTCAGACTGTGAAGACACATTGCATTAACTTGTCACTATTGCTGTTTTGTCGTTTCAGAATCCAGACGTTACCATGCATTGCTGATGTAAGCTGATCTGTGTTCATTGTCTCTGATGGAGCTGAAAGTTTGGGTGGATGGAGTTGTACGAGTGGTTTGCGGCCTGTCAGAAGAGACATCATGTCAGGATGTAGTCATTGCACTCGCCCAAGCCATTGGTAAGTACCTCTGAGAAGGAACTTCAGGTGGTGAGGTTAGACCAGGGTTTCCCAAATCCGGCCCTGGAGGGCCACTGACTTGCAGAGTTTAACTCCAAACCTAATCAAAAACACCTGAGCAAGCTTATCAAGGTCTAAAAACAAAAAAAAATTATAGAAAAGTAAGCTTGATCAGATTTCAAGTTAAACTCTGCAGGGAAGTGGCCTTCCAGGGCCAGATTTGAGGAACCTTGGGTTAGACCTTTAAAGATCTGGGCTAGTAACCAGTAGGTTGTAGGTTAGAGGCACACAAAGTGGTGGTCCATGAGCCCTTGCCATGATGGCCTTCAGCAAGACACTTGAAGTAACCTTAGGACAGTTCCCCTAGATCCAGTGGGATTGTCCACATAATGTACAGATTGTTGGACTCTAACTACCCCTGTGCTCTCTACAGGCCAGACGGGTCGTTACGTTCTCATTCAGAGACTGAGGGACACCGAGCGCCAACTTCTGGCCAATGAGTGCCCACTGGAGTCCCTGGCCAAACTGGGCCAACACAGCAGCGAGGTGCAGTTCTTCCTGCGGCGGACCGGTCCCAGTAGCAGTGAAGAGCAAAGTCTGCACAACCGCACCCTCCCTCACTCCAAGCCTTCCACATCAGAACCCAAACGGGGATTGCCAAAGAAATCTTATACCTTCAACTTGGGCCCCTCCAGTTCTCCCCGTGTGAAAACTAAGGACTCTCGTACAACACCTTCTCCTGAACAGAGGGCGTCCCCAGTTCCACACGCGCAGTACCTTCCGGGGCCATCTAAAGAGGAGGTGCTCCGGCATGTTCTCCAGCAGCGGGAGCAGCTACATGCCCTCGAGTCCCAGCTGTTGGCAGTCGACAAGGAATGCGAGACTTGGGAACAGTCGTCTGCTGAGGAGTCATCCCTGCAGGCAGAGATGGAAGTTTTGGAGAAGACCCTGTGGAAGAACCAGCAGGAGTTGGTGGATGAGGAGTTCTGGGAGGAGGAACTAAGGATAGAGACCGAAAGGGAGCGTGGGATGAAGCGCCGGTTAGGAGAGCTGCATGCTAAACTGGATGATTGTGGGCAAAAGTTGCACAAATTCAACACTCGCGCCATGCAGCTTGAGGAAGACATTCGGAGAGAAATGCTACAGGCGGACATCTTGCCCACCCAGTCCGATTCAAAAGACTCTTTGGGGGTAGTCGAGGCAGATCTTCAAAGTCGACAAAAGCAGGGGGAGGAATTGGAGGCGGAGCTTTTAGAGCTTGAGAAGGCTTTGGGGAGGGCGGAGACTCTGCTGAAGGTAAGCAGAGAGGGCGTGGCTCTAGAGAGAGGCTTGTAGCTGTTGGCTGCGAATGCAGGAGGGTGGAGGCGTATGATTAATGAACTGAAAATTTGAAAGTGAACAAAGGTACTCATCTATTGAAATTATTCATATGAACCTTAGTTCACACTCAGTTCAAACTTATGGATTCTGACTTTTCTGTGCACAAAAACAAATGTTTTTATTTGGACACACGTGCATTTCTTTTATCTCCTGTGCATTTTATGCATTGAAAGGACAAAATAAAGGTGTATACCTATTGAATGAGTTTCTTTTCCTGCTGGGCATGCATGAATTTCAAACTGTACATAATTATGCACCAGCCTCAGTTTTATAACAGCGTTTCAGTATTCCAGTGACTTAAATCAAAGACTTGCAAGTCTATGAAGATGGTCTAAACTACTTCATACCCCAGCGCCACTCAAAAGCCTTCCTTTATGTGTTCTTCCAGAAAGCAAAGAAATCAACCATGACTAACTGGATCTTACATAATCAGAATCTATTCCTCTTAGACAAGTCATGCATGCAAATTAGGTTGATCCATCAACAGAACATGGTGAATTATCATAGTTTTCAAATAGCAACTCAGGTGATTACTTACTTACATGCTTTACATACTTTGTGGTTATCATTGACTTGTCTGTATTTGAATTTGGCTTGTCTTGTTAAACAAATGAAAACTACAACCGGAAAGGTGTCAAAGGTACCCCATAGAGAACAAATCCTAAGATTACTGTAATCAGAGCCACAGGGCACAACTTGGCTGTTGTTGCTGTTAAAACATGGCGCCCCCTTGTGACTACAGGTGGAATTACAATAAAGAAGAAAACGAAAAGAAGCAAAATTGCTGGTTATGATGTTGTATTCAGACAACACACACAATGAAAAGTGTACAGGAATTGATTAAAGGTATTAATTAAAGAATTGCTGCTAAAATTTTAAAACAAAATATAAATTAAAAAAAAACATTAAAATCATAAATTAATACAAATATATTCTAAAACGTATCCAATAGTAAGTTGTTGGCCACATACTACATTGCAAAAAAAAATGATAATTTTGAATCATTCATATTTATAATTAAACTGTTTTTATTCTAGTAAGCAGGCTGTTTGTGATTGTCTGTTCTCTCTGAGTGTAGGCTAAGCAGGAGGAAGTGGAGGAGTTGAATAAGGAGCTGAGACAGTGTAATTTACAACAGTTTATCCAGCAGGCTGGAGCCCTGCCTACTCATACTCACCCAGAACAACTGGACCTGACTCAACAACAGCAGGACAAACACAAAGACAGTGGTATGGCCTCCACACACACACACACACACACACACACGCACACAATCTACTTCAGGTACATATACCTAACTAAACAGAGAAAATCAATTAATAATGGAATACTAGCATACTGTTTACTGCATACTACACATTATATACTGTGTACTGCCTAGTTTTACTACATTTGCTATAATGTGCAGTATACAGAATACACTCGGTGGTATACAGTACTATATCCCACAATGCAATGTGCTCAACTTGACCCTACATTTTTGATGTAACAACTGAACTGCAAACATATGATCTGTGGTTTTAAATGGTTGACTTTAAAACAGCATGCTACCATTACTATTTCTAGTAGTATGCTACAGTATAACCTGCACATTTGAAGATTTTTAAAACAAAATTGCACTAAAAATGAAAGATAATCACCTGATAACCGGATGATGTTTGCTAAATTCAAAGGAAACATTTGATGTTAAGAGGTAAAGTGACATTGTAGATTAATACAGTTTCAAATGTTTATACTTGAATAATGCATACTGTTTGACATGCTATTTTTTAAATAGTAGTCAGTATGCAGTATATACTTTCAGTATGCAGTATACAATGCTTAATTTTTTCAATTTATCACATGACATCATTATGTTTGTTTACGCATAATTATTCAGAACATTGCATCCAGTCTTCTTGAATTTATGCTGAAATTTCACTTTAGTGTGAATATGTCTTATGTAAAGAAAGAGATGCTAAACATCTCAGCTCATTTCTTACACTGGAAATGGAAAGTGCATTGCATTGTGGGTTACAACATTCCTTGTAGTGATTTCTGGTTGTACACTGAACAAATATTACGGTCATATGGTGGTTAATAGCTAGTACAGACATTTGTGTGTTTATATGGACTTATGTTGTTATTGTTGTATATTTTACTCCATATTTCCCACAGATTCGCCCCCACGTCCCACTGCCAAGCAGTTCCTGGGTCACCCGCGCAACCTGCAGCACCCCCTGGTGTCCAGCCTGAACCCTGAGGGTGTGTATGTGTGACAGATGCTGCCGCTGCTTCCCTGCCTGCACCCCCAGCTGCCACACACACGCCCGTGGCGGCAGCCCTGTCTGGGTGAAGGTGCCTGCATGGTGGCCCTCCTTAACCGCCCTCTTCTGATCAACAGGCCTGATTATTGTAGCACTTTAGCTGAAAGGCACTGCGTCAACTAATTTACGCAACATAACCGTAGTTCAATCCAAAACTGATATATTTTCAGTCACTGTATATTAGTGCTATTAATGTACAGTATATGCTTATTTTTTTCTGTAAATATAGATGTTACATATTACAATGCTATGAAGTCAGTATGTAGTGCCTTTCAAAAAGAAGTGTTACCACAACCTGTGCTCTTCAACACTTTAGTTTAAGGGATAGTGGGTTGGTCTTAAATTACATCTTGACAAGCTGCTAAAAACTTTTGTTGAAGTCGAGATATTTTTTGCTTACGAAGATGTAATTTGACTTTAAATTTGATGCAAACTAAAGTGTTTCTGCCATGTCCCCTTGAGTTCTACACTCCTTGTCTTCTTTTCGCTCTTCTGTCCCAGTTTGGTGTCCTAACAGCTGTTTTGCTGATTTATAGTGCAGCTGTGTGTGTGTGTGTGTGTGTGTATTATTAAAGGGATATTTCATCCATTAAATAAAAATTTCAGTTGTCATTTACTTTACTTGGTGTTGCAAACCTATATGTAAAACATTTTGAAGAATGTTCACGCTGCTCTTTTCCAACCAGGAACGTTTTCCCAGACTTTTGTGGTGAGCTGGACTCAGCATAGCTTTGACACGTTTAGTGCCATTGATGTCCAACTGGGGTGACATCTATGTGAGAAGTTTGAATATGCGTAAATGCATATAGATTATCATTTAATAATGACTTCAGTTTGGGTCTCTTTCGCACACAAATATATCATGTGACTTCTGAAGGCTTCTAAACTTGAAATATAGTGCAAAAAAGTCGCATTGGACACTTTTATGATACTTTAATGGATTGTTTTCATCAGGACTGGATTCATCAAAATCTAAGATAAAGTCTAAATTTCATAATCTTTTTGAGAAGAAAATGAAAGGTGATATTTAATTGTATGGTGGTATTTGTTGAACAAGTTGAAAAAAAAATCACCTCTAATAATAGTAATAATGTGTTATATGTAGCTAGTCTTATGTTGTAATGCTTAATGTTCAAATAACCCAATTCATTAAACGAAGTTTGAATATGCGTAAATGCATATAGATTATCATTTAATAATGACTTCAGTTTGGGTCTCTTTCGCACACAAATATATCATGTGACTTCTGAAGGCTTCTAAACTTGAAATATAGTGCAAAAAAGTCGCATTGGACACTTTTATGATACTTTAATGGATTGTTTTCATCAGGACTGGATTCATCAAAATCTAAGATAAAGTCTAAATTTCATAATAATCTTTTTGAGAAGAAAATGAAAGGTGATATTTAATTGTATGGTGGTATTTGTTGAACAAATTGAAAAAAAATAATCTCTAATAATAGTAATAATGTGTTATATGTAGCTAGTCTTATGTTGTAATGCTTAATGTTCAAATAACCCAATAAATTCATTAAACGTCTTACATTTGTGGATTTTAGACAAGTTGGAAGTTATCCAAACTTTACAGTGAATTTCAAGGATTTCAAATACGGCTTTTGTTTTGTCTTTAAAACAATCTTAAGAAGAAAAAAAATAAAAACATTCTTAAGAAATGTTTGAATACAAGCACTATTCTTAATTTAGAATAGAATATATTTTATTCATAAGAATAAAAGAGCCCGTTTACTTCATGCTTTTTGAATGGAAAAGCAGCAGCATGAACATTCTGCTAATTATCTCCTTTTGTGTTTTACGTAATAAAGGAAGGCATATGATTTTGGACATCGTGAGGGCGAGTAAATGATGACAGATCTTCATTTTTGGGTGATCTATCCCTTTGGCACATCTAATGACAGGATGGCTTTCATGTGTGCGCTCCTCTCCTGAAAGAATATTTGTCAAGATGTGTTGAGTGGACAATGATCCAAACAGTCTGAATGTTAGTACAAAGATTGTGAACACTGTACATAAAACACTTGTTTTTAAAGCATCTGTGGCTTTTGATTGTGAACCACCAGTATTCAAAAATATGAACTATCTCTGTAGCTACTCATATAGCCTACTTTTAAACGATTACAAAACGGAGACTTTTTGGAAGTTGGACCTGTTGCTAACTGAATTATTCTGAGGGGAAACTTCCCCATGATGACATTGTCTTTGTATAAACAACACATAAATGACAAAATCTCATATTTTAGTAGATGTTTATCCAGTGCTCGATTGTTCTTCTGGTCTGTAGCCGTTACTTTCGGGACACTCTTGAGTGAACCTGCAAAGTACGACTGCGGGAACGTCTCAGTGTGTATTTGCTATTTCCAAAGAACAAATTACATCAAATTCATGATTCCCACACATTATCAATGCCTTGTGCTATATTGCATATTCATTATACGATTGAGGCAGTATGTTGCCGGTTTGGCGAGAGCTAAAACTCAGGGTTCATAAACAGTAGAGTGTGACGTTCGGACGTTTCTCTGGGTTCGAGGTTTCTTTCTGTTCTCTCTCGGCTGCTGTGTGCATGCATGTGTCTGAAAGCCCGCAGATGGCGTATTTTTGTACTTATCATGATTGGACGAGCCAACAGCATCACTCAGTGTACTTTTCTGTGTGTCTTGCAGTCCTGACATCCAGAGAATCGTCTTGGCGGTAATAAAGCTGAAGCACAGGGCTAAGGATTTATAATGACTTGCTTATATTCAACTCCGCTGTCTTAACTGTCGTCTGTATAACCATTTATGTTATATATTCACTGTATATATGAATTATATATTTACTACTTTTTTGGTACATTTCAAAACATGTATTTACTGTAAAATATTACCAGATTTTATCTCGAGAACTTTTACTTTTGTGTATGTATTTAAGTACAATAAAGACTGTGCATTGTGTCTCAGATGATTCCCGTGTGATGGTTTGAGGCTCACAGTTCATCGTTCATCGTTTGCTATTTTCTATCACTGATTCACAAAGGTCAGATGGTAAGTGAAAGCAAACACAGGGAATGTTTTCTAACACTTAAACGTGGTTTAGTAATAAACATGTTAGAGCTAAAATGAGTATTCACATATCACACACCTGTCGTATATACCAGGGTTAAAGGGTTAGTTCACCCAAAAATGAAAATTAGGCTGCTTTTTACTCACCCCCCGAGTCATCCCAGGGCGGGTGTTGCATGCATCAGTCCAAAAGAAGTTAAATAAAAAGCGTCCATCCATAAATAAAGTGTCTCACACGGCTCTGGGGGGTGAATAAAGGCCTCCTGTAGCGAATTGATGCGTTTTTGTAAGAAAAATATCCATATTCAAAACGTAATAATCACGTTAATGTAGCTTGCGCTCTCTGTTGTACACTGGAAGCAGCTCCGGGAGCATGACGTATGAGGTCGAAAGAAGAAAGTCATATACACCTAGGATGCCTCGAGTAAAACACAAGCTAATTTTCATTTTTGGGTGAACTAACCCTTTAATATAGTTAACTAAAACTATACCTAAAACTAATACAGAAATAAAAATGTATAAAAATATAAACTGATAAAAATGGCAAAAACTAACAACAAAATTACTAAACCTTTTACAAAAATTAAAATGAAAACAGAAAAATAAAAATTATAATAGTATCTCACTGGTGTCCAAATGTCCACAAGAGACCACTTAGTTTTTCTCATTACAACTTATATTAAAATGCAAATTTGAGTAAAAATAAATAAATACATAATAATAATAAATATCATATTTTCTTAGTATTATGCATTATCATACTCAAGCTGACCTAACCTCCACAAATAAGTTTTTATATATTATTTTAAAAAATATTATTTTTAGATTATATATATACTTACATAATTAAGTTACTTAATATTACATTTACATTTAGTCATTTAGCAGACGCTTTTATCCAAAGCGATTTACAAATGAGGACAATAGAAGCAATCAAACATATTAATTAATCGTTAATATGTAATAATAAATTAGAAATATATAAAATAATATTAACATAAATATATTTCTATATTATGTAATAAATGTAATATTTAATATCTATAATTTTAATATAATATTTCATTTATTAAAAATTTGTAAAGATATTTTCATAATTTTTTCCCCAATAATTTGCATATTATAATTGTCATATATATGTTATTAGATTTTTACATCCTTACCTATTCATGTTTTGGTTTTAAGTTTAGAAGACACTAACTCATGAACACATTACTTTATCAAGATGATAATTCAAGTGACCAAAAAAAAAAAAAAAAACTTAAACTGACCTCCACAAGTAATTATTATAAACATATACATTTGATCATATATGGTTCTTGATCTTAAAAGTTTACAGGAAACACTGAACTAAACCCCAAACCACATGATGTATAAAAATCCATAAAGACGTGTTTTTATAAAGGGGCTGCTACAATTTCAGTCATTAGTCTGATCTGTTCTTTCTCACGGCACCACAAAGGCGTCCAAATAACTGCCGTCATATTTTTCTGAAAGTCTTCTTTAAAGATGACTGAGCAGTATGATACAGTAAAACCCCCAGTGAATTAGAAGGTGTTTGTCTGAGCTGCTTGGCTGTTGAGATATCATGATTAACTCTATGAGAGTGGATCAAGAGCCTGTCTGACAGAGTGAGATTCGACTCAAATCCTCATCAGCGCTCGCCGCTGTCTGTCTGTCTCTACAGCTACAGCTACAGACGCTATACTACTCATCCATACAGATAAACACAAACACAGCCGTGGCTCACGGATGGCCATTAATGAGAGTGACATGTTTTCATTCATGTCACCGAACGGGATAATCACAACTGAAGGCCGTTCAGAAGAGACTCAATCAAATCAAATCTGTAATCCGTGATGAATGTCTTTATGTGGGCCAGAGCCATTAACAGACAAGATAAGGATCAATGACTATTTCACTAATATCAGCCATAGAACACATTCGAATTGATTATCAGCTCATTTAATTAGTATTAGGAGACAGGATTTACATTTTAAATATACATATTACTCAAAATGTAACTATAAACCACTCAAATCATCTGAATTCAGAACTTTTTCAAAACAAAGCCTGGATTAAAGAAATGATTGACTCGCAATGTTAAACATTTCTTCCGTCTTCCATCACACCACAAATTGTAATATTTTGTTGCTGAAAGTATGTTTGTATTATGAAACATTAGGATTTATTTGATCTATTTTTTATATTTTATTTACATATAATATGTAACATTAGGATTTTTAATATTTTACTTGATATATTATGATGCAATACAATATAATATATAGTATTTTATAATATAAACCATGCTATCCATGTCTTTCTTTACCACAACCTTTAATATGTTGTTTATGTACTCAAACATTCAGATTTATTTTGTATGTAATAACATAATTTAATGAAAACATAAACATAGTGAAAATTATTAGTCATTTTAATAAATTAAAAAATATTTATATATTTTTTTTTTTTACCAAATTTAACATTTTTTTAATTGTTAATGCACCGTCACCCATTTATTTAGCAAAATCTTAACTTTTAATATTTTTTATATTAAAACTTTTAATATTTTGTTGCTAGAAGCTCATTTTTATACTCAAACATTTTTAGATTTTTTTTCTATATTTTTAGATTTCATAAAATATATTTCATATCATATAATGTAACAATGTACACTGAAACATTAGGATTTATTTGATCTATTTTTTTATATTTTATTTACATATAATATGTAACATTAGGATTTGTAATATTTTACTTGATATATTATGATGCAATACAATATAATATATAGTATTTTATAATATAAACCATGCTATCCATGTCTTTCTTTACCACAACCTTTAATATGTTGTTTATGTACTCAAACATTCAGATTTATTTTGTATGTAATAATATAATTTAATGAAAACATAAACATATATTTGTATTTATTTTTTTAACCAAATTTAACATTTTTTAAATTGTTAATGCACCATGTCACCCATTTCTTTAGCAACATCTTAACTTTTAATATTTTTTATATTAAAACTTTGAATATTTTGTTGTTAAAAGCTCATTTTTATACTCAAACATTTTTAGATTTTTTTTTCTATATTTTTAGATTTCATCAAATATATTTCATATAATATATAATGTAACATAATGTACACTGAAACATTAGGATTTATTAGAATTTTTTTATATTTTATATGACTAATTTTCAAAATATAATACAATATAATATAATACAATTACGAAACCAAAACTGAAACTGCTGATCAGAATGAAAGTTGAATTATTACTATGCTAAATCTAACAGAGCGAGTCTGTTAAGCGTGTGAATATGATTCAGAGCTGGTTCAGTTTACACAGCTACTGTAACTCGATTTGCATAACGGTTCAAGTTCAAAAGTTCAGAGCTGCTGGCTTAGTGCAAGAAAACATTATTATGACATATGAAAGTATGACTGAGCGAAGCAGCTTCATCTAGAGATGCGAGTTTAATCAGGAGCACGTGTCTGTGACACACTGCACGTATGCACTGATGTATGCGTTCATCTCTTCAGCACGTGATGTGCTGCACGGGAATCAAACACTCAACAGTTGAGCTACAGGAGCAGAAGGACTCGTGGAGGGACGGGGGACCCAAAAGCGTCCCTCCAGTGAGCGTGTCCGCCTCGACCCGTTCAGGAGTCTCCGGTGGGACGTTCCCACGGCTGCTGAAGTCAGGCACGCATCCAAAAGCTGGTTAGCCGCTGTCACACGCACAGTGGAGTGGAGAACAGGCGCAATGTGCGTTAGTCAGTGGCTTACCTGCTTTCAGAAATCACAGGTTCGGATGCCACTGGAAGCCCAGAATATCACTTGAAACATCTGAATGAATATAACAGAGTTTAGATTACAGGTTCTGCAACTCTACATAATGACGTGCATGGGCAAATATCTTCTTTATAATTCTTTTGCATAATTATATTAATATATGATAATTATATGCTAATCAGATGAGGTATAGAATGATATGATATATTCTTTGACCATGTGGCCTGGATGAAACACTTGAAAGTGTTTTTAAATTTAAAATAAATAAATAAATAAATCGTGTTTTGTTCAAATAAAGTCTCAAATTTTAATTTAGCACTGATGGTGAAATATTAATGATTATACAATACGTCCATATTTTGCTATATACGTGTCAAATACATAGAAAGCAAAGCAGAAATATTAAAGGATAAAATTATGAAAGCATATCTGTTTATCACTTTCAAATAAAGCGATTAATATTATTTTTGACAGACAATTGAAGCAAAAAGACACACTTACTCACCTCAACTTCCCGATAAACCCGTTAATTGCTGGATGAAGAGCAAATCCAACAGTCCTTAATGGTGTTGATAAAAACACACAAGGCTTCAGATGTTTTCGTCAAAGATAATAATTTCCGAAATAAAGTATTAAACTGAGGATAGTACACTACAGCAGCGCAGAAGTTCAGCTCACTTGCGCTACCCCAACCCTGCCCACTCCCCTGCAACTGCAACCTGGCCTGCTTATGCAAATCAGCGCTTGATTGACGTGACAGTCAGCCAATAGCTGGCCGATCTCTCCACTGAAAGCCCGCCTATTCAATGGAACGATCGAATTACAGCGTCGCAGGGGCTTGACTGTGAGCATCAACTCGTTCGGTGGATTTTCTCAGAGTTATAGCGGGGTGCGGTGCGTTCGGTTTTGCACGTCTTACTTTAGGAATGAACCATTTTCGGCGCACTTATTTCCCGCTTTTCTGACATTTTCTAGAAAGTTACGCATCATACTTTGCGTTTTGATTTTTGCAAGTGGAATCTGGTGTTAAATTGTTCGGTTGATACAATTATGTATTGCTTTTACGTGTTTTAGAAAAAAGAACTCCCCCCGCGTCCTGAAAGTGGTTGGACTCTGTTCGCCCGTGTGTAGCAAAGCCATGAAGCTAGTGTGGATGTGCACGTACGAAGCATGCAGAGAGAGAGAGAGAGAGAGCGAGAGAGAGAGATGGCGCGAAAAGTCATTTTGAAAATTAGAATGGCTTTTTATTTACATTTGTTATGTAAGCTAATACATACATTTTAGGATTTTGAAATAAAATATATCTAGAGATATTATGCTGTAGGGAGGGCATGGAGTTTGCGTTTTAAAATAAATGTTTGATTTAGATAAATCTAAATATATATGATAAATATATAATAAACATAATATGTTTCACAAACAAATAAATAAATGATATATATATATATATATATATATATATATATATATTCTTTGGCATTTACGTTGTTTATTTCTTATTGGCTACCTCATATTATTTTCATTACAAAAGCTTGAGCGAATGCAAAATTTCTCGAGGAATGCAAAAGTTTTGCAGGCAAATGCAAAGTTTCTTGGAGGAACGCAGTTGTGTTGCTAGAGAACGTGAATATTTTGTGAGAGGATGCAAACGTTTTGCGATCAAATACAATGTTTCTCAGGGAACGCAATATTTGCGAGAGAACGCAAAAGCATTTAAATATATTTTTTCTTAATGTCTAATTTTCATCTCACCATGTCTCATTAGGGCCTCCGTATTGACCAGTCAATTTAGTTCAGTTTTCATGCTCACATGCTTGTCTAAATAAATGATTAAATACTGCGACTAGAATGAATGAATAATTTAATAGGGACCTATCAGAATTTATCAGTCAATTTGGAAAATGCATGTTGACCAGCAGGCGAAAAACAATATAGTGTAAATATATAAACAATGTTTTATGAAATTATCGTGAATGCTAGTGAATTAAGCAAATAATAATAATGAATAAATAAATAAATAATTTAAGCAGAATACCTGAAGACTGCTCGAAAGGGCTGTGATTGCGTGCCTTTCATGGTCTTCAACAGCCGAACGTTTAGTTCATTAATATTAATCTAGTCATGCTAAATTTGCTAGGTCACCTTGCTCATTAATATTCATAATCCCAAACCTCTACCCAAGTAGGATTCATTGTGAAATCACTTTCGGCCAATCGCAGAAAGCCTATTGGGTGGGTCACACGTCACCTAATTAATATTCATGAGCAGCTCCTTCCCATAGTAGGATTCGTAATTTCTGCAGCCGGCAGTGTCAGAGACTAACGCCGTGTGGACTTCAAAACACAAATAATGTCTTACACAACCTTACAGGGTAGGTACTGATACTCGAAATTATAACCTCCCCGATTAATTCAATAAATGAGACATTTACCGCCGTTAAAAGCTGCTTAGTACGGCCTGGATGTGAAATTTAACAAAAATAGCTGATGAGTTAAATTTAGACTAAGGGCAAGAAACACAGCTAGCGTGTTAGCTTTAGCCCTAGCTTTAGTGCAAGTGCTCAAGGCTCAGTTTCACAAAATAAACAGACTTTTGGTGCTTTGCAATGATTATTTTTTCATGTTTGCAACCCACCTCATTATAGCCTTCCTGGAGTGTGTAGTGTAAATGAAGCATGCCAGTGTTTTTATCAGCTGGCTTGGTGTTAGCCGTTAGCATCAAGTCAATAACATTGTTTCGTATAAATAAAGCATTGAGAGTTATGCTGTGTATCATACTGTACAACATTTCCGAGGACAGTTTAACGTGTCGTGAAAAAACATGATCTAAAAAGCAATAGTTTATGTGATGGTGTGTGTATTAAAATTTGGCAGTTTAATTTTAGCAGGTGTTTTTGCTAAATTATATTATGATGATAAAGATAAAGCCTCGTTTATTAGGTTATTCTGAAGTATTAATGCTCTTTAACATTGTATTTAAATGTTGGTCACATTTGGAGTGGATGTTGACATTGGATAATGCATGTGTGCCCTGCAGGTTGTTCAGTGCTGAGATCTATCTAGATCAGACCAGAGCGTAACCATGGATGAGGAGGACAGCCAGGATGAGCTGATCAACAGGAACATCTCCCACGCAAAAGGGAAGAGACCTGCCATGTCCATCATCTCTGATGACGGTTAGCAATCTTGCATCAACAAATGGAACAACACAGGAAGTTTTGTGTGCCAAAAATCATCTCTACCCTACCCTGGAAAGCATGCTATACATATTTTTTAATTAATTGTATTTATTTTTTGTTACAAAATTTTCATTTATTTATTTTTAACACCAGCCCCCTGCCCCCCACCACCATTTTTTCTTGGGCTACACGCCAGTGCACTCTATATATCTCACAATCATGTCTTAGGAAGATAATATTTGAATGCTTAGTTTTATGATCAAAGCTCTGTAGTTTCAAAACATGCAATTCACTACAATGATGATTGAGAGATGAAGCCTAAAGCCCGATGATCGTGCTTGATTCTCACATTTCAACGTGATTTTTCTAAAACATTAAGTATGGATAATCACGTAAACCTAAGTTACTTAAGTCCAGTAAGTGTTAATTTTGAAATATCACTAACAATACCAGTTATTCTTATGTTTATTTTATTAAAATCTGTAAAGATTTCACAGCTAAAAGACACGTGAATCACAAGCTGAAGGTGGATGATTGTGCAATTATGCTAAAAGGCATTTTACTTGCTATAAATGGTCATATATCTTTTATTGTATTATTATTATTATTTTTGATTGTTGATAAGAGGCCTTAGAAATTTGTGTATCAGATATGATACAGTGGCTTTTTAGGGTTAAGGTCAGGATTGCATTTAATAAATACATATTTTTATTCTGTTTTCTATTTTATGTTTAATGACTTCTCTTCCCGCATGTCATGGAAATTCAGAGGACATCTCAGAAGATGAGGGGGAATCAGAGGAAGGAGCAACAGGCAGCGAGGAAGATGATGATTACGAAGAAGAGGAAGTCCTTGATGGAGAGGAGGAGGATGACAGTGAAGGTAAGCTTTAGCTTCAACATGCCTTTATTATTGACATTTTTATAGTTGTCAGTTTAACGTGTTAATTTAGTTGATTATATGAACGTTTTTAAAATTTAATAAAGTATTTTGATTTCTTTTGTATCATCTATTTAATGATTTAAACGTCTGCAAGAATAATAATATCTTAATTATCTTCTTTGGGCCTTTCATCACCTTTAAATGTTAAGCTTATGATAAAATCAAACTGACAGTTCTTAAGTTTTTATGGAATATTGCAGTGTTTAAAATAAATGATATATCTTCACATTATTATTTTTTTTAATTCATGTTTTTTTTTAAGATGTTTTCAACTTCAGCTTCATGCCAACTATACATTTTATCATGAAAATAAACACTAAACTGTAAACTTGTAAATATATACACTTGTAAATAACCCATCTGTACATTAGGGTTGTGACGGTGAAGAAACACTGGAAGCGCCAGTCGTCAAGACGGATTCCTTTTGTGTGTAAACATACTTGGCAATAAAGCTCTTTCTGACTTCTGACTTCTTCTAAAATGCATATCTAACCACATGATACAATATTATATCCGTCTTATAAAAGTGTCAGATCATGTGGCGCATTAATTGTTAGGAGTGATCTGTTTGCATTTTACCCTAAAATATGCATGTCATAACACGACCACACCATCCTCAAACAAACATGGGAGGAACCTGTGGACCGAATTGTCTTCAATGATATTCTCCTGAGAAAGTGCTACGGCGGGAAAGTTAAAAAAACAGTGAGTCACTTACATGAGGATTGTTATTACGCATAAAAGGGTTTGTTCAAACCAAGAACGATAAAGATATCTATAATTATAACTATTAATAATAACTATTAGCTGTCAATGTATTTATCATTGATGAGCTGGAAAAAAGATTCTAATGATATTGGTCCTCTGTGTCGTTATTGTTACAGTTGTGGTGGGAACTTTGTTATTCTCAAAGAATTCTCATAATAATTACAAGTGGAGAAACTGTTTATCATTGAGCCACAATTTTTCGTGATGGGGCATGTCTGAGAAAACATGACTTGGTTGACGATAAATTTGTTAAAGTATGAAATGACTTTTTTAAATCTACAAGAGAAATGCTGCAATTAGGAAAAAATATTTTTAAGCAATTACAATAAAACGTATCACAGTTGTTTACATCACTGTTGTGTGTGTGTGTATCTTCAGATGAGGACTCTGGTAAGGTGCTGGAAGGAGCTGTAGGGAGTGTTGCTGTGGATGCAGCGGGTCTGAGCTCAGACGAGGACTCGGAGAAATGCCCCATCTGCCTGAACTCATTCCACGAGCAGCCCGTGGCCACGCCGGAGTCCTGCGAACACTACTTCTGTCTGGACTGCATCCTGGAGTGGTCAAATGTAAGAGTGACGGGCTTCAACCCTTTACATCACTCATGCATAAAGTTCTTGTCCATATTTGGTCATTGATTCTATACAGTTATTCAGCATTATAATGCTACATTTGATGCAATAGTGTTCCTAACAATGTTATTGTAGTATCATTGAGACAATGATACTATTATAGTTTTTATTCCTAGCTTGAATTCTTTTTTATTTTTTTATTTTCCACTTTGATTTTAATTGTAGTTTCAAATGTAGTATTTTATTTTTGTGGGTTTTGTCATTTTTCTTTTTCTTTTTTTTTTTACTTTTAGTTATTGTTGTACAAGAAGTTAAACTAAATAAAAATGAGAAAAAAAAAATAAAGAAGCAAAAACACACCTGATGCACATCCTTTATTCATCTGATGCACGTGACGTCATAATAATGACCCGTAATTATGACATGCCACACACTTGAGTCGGAAACATATAACATCAAAGTAGTCTAAAGAAAAGAAAAATATGTTGAGAACAATAAACCCAAATACCTACATCTGAATACATTTGCATCTGAAAAATATTCATTTCAAATCACTTATTTACACATTGTATCACAATTAAATATCTAAGTTGAGTAATTATTAGTAGACCATTCGCTACAGACTTGCTTTCCGCGCACTTGTCTCTATAGATCACGTATATACTAGTTATACTAGTCAGTGTTTCTGCAAAAAAAGTTTTTAAATATTTTAATTTACAGCTTGCACATTCATGTGCTCGGACTTCGTAATTACTATATTTCCGACTTCTTGAAGAACACACTGTAATATCAGCTTCAGTTGGACGGATCGGGGAGTATCACTTTGTGTTTGCTTAGATTCCAGTGAAGAAGCCTGTAAAACCTACGGAGGAGCTGGTGGATGTGGACTTGGATCAGACCAGCTGTGAGGTTTGCGGGGGTCAAGATCGTGAAGATCGTCTCCTGCTGTGCGATGGATGTGACGATGGGTAAGAAGTGTATGACAAACTCTCAAATACGACAGAAACGTAAAATCAGTGATGCCCAGTCCTGCTTCTGGAGGGACGTCCTGCAGAGTTTAAAATAGGCTACCGTTTTAAATATTGACGTTTATTGCAAAGTCCAACTAAATTTTATGCTCTTCACAAAACTGTCCATTGACAATAATGCAGGCGGAAATTCCTTTACGCTACTAATTGGAGCCGGAAGTGACGACATATAGCAGGGGTGTCAAACTCAATTCCAATTCGTCAAAGCCAAAACCCAGCAATTTATAAATCCTGGCCAGGACATGTCTGGGAAAAAGAGGAAGTATGGTCACCCTACCTTTTTGTAAACGAGACTGTGACGAGTGGGGCGAGGCCGGTGGAGTTAATGATAATGAGCAACACCTGCGCCACTCACTGTCTGGAGTCCTTCACTGTCGTCACTCCGAGACGTGAGTGGCGCAGGTGTCGCTCATTATCATTAACTCCACCGGCCTCGCCCCACTTGTCACAGAGACGTTGTTTAGGTATGTAAGAATAAGACTTTTAAATCTATTGTATGTATACAAACGGGATCAGTCTTCCCCAGTAATCTCCATAAAATGATTAAATAATCTCTCTGTCCAGTCATCACAAATGGCTGTGATTGGTCCTTCTTGACCAGTGCTGAGAAAAGTAACCGGTATCAGGTGTGAACTGCTTATTTTTTAGCAGTGATTTGGACACTGACTAACTTTAATAGACATTGAATTGAAATATATAGTATTGATTAGCGAATTATAATTTAGAATGTCAGTTTTCAGGAATTTTCACAATTGTTGGTCATTAAAATCTGTTTTCTGAATGTCAGCAATAAGATCAACAAGAGTGTGTTTTCATTTTTTATTTATTTATTTTTAAATCAAAATGTGTTTAATTGATCTTCTAGTGATGTATGCTGGACTTCTGCATTCATTTAGTGCTCTTAAACATTATAATACCCATTTTGTGTCTTTATAATGGAAGGTACCACATGGAATGTCTCACACCGCCGCTGGACACTGTACCTGTAGAGGAATGGTTCTGCCCAGTGTGCATCGCCCACAACCGCACATCAGGTCATCTTTCAATTCTCAAAACCATTCATTACATTAACGGCGCATTTAAGACTTGTTACGTATTGTATTAATAACCATGTGTTTTTTTCTGCTAATATCTTGTACTAGGTTCTGAACAAATCAGTGAGGAGGAGAGCAGCTCTCTCCCCACCACCAGCCGTCGCCCGTCCAGACCGACCCACGCTATCGCACGCACCCAGCACAGCGAACGAGTTCGGGCCAACGTCAACAGACGGCGCATCACACAGGCACGCACTGCAGCACAGGTTTGCATGATGCTTTCGCTTTACTGTCTAATCACAAGTGTGTAACAATGTCTTGAATGATGGGCTGCTGGGCTGAGATTGGTGTGTCACCATACATCTGGTCTAACCAATGTTTTGGATGGTTTTGTTCAAATAGTAAATGGATAATTAAATTAAACAAGTATGAACATAGATATTATTAGAACTGTTACTTTTGCTCATACTTGGGCTTAGTGAGTGAACTTTGGGAATGTTTTGTGCAGTACTACTTGGCATGAGCTAAGTGTGTGTTTGATTTTATGTGGTATTGTGTTTTAGCTCGCTCCCAGATATATGATGCAGTCCACGTGGTTGGATGAGACCATCAATGCTGTAGTGGCCGGATTCAACACGGCTGTTTATGTGCGAGACTTGACCCCTCGCTCCAAATCCCGCCGGAGGAGAAAGACAGGTGAGACAGATTTGTTCTGGCTGATCTGATCACACATGGTCTAAACTTCTGAAATCTGAAAATGCTTCAGAATCTGGGGGGAGGGGGAGATTTTTTTAATGGTTTTGAATTTGATTAAAAATACAGTAAAACAGTAATATTGTGTAATATTACTAAGGTTTCAAATAACTTTTGTATTTTGATATATTGTAAAATGTAATTGGATGAATAGAAAGTAAAAAAATAGAAAGTAAAAAAAAGTAAACAAAATAGAAAGTAAAAAAAAAAACAGCTTTTATTTGAAGTATAAATCTTTTGTAAATGTCTATACTGTCACTTTTGATCAATTCAATGTGTCCTTGCTGAATAAAAATATAAATGATCATTACTGCCTACTAACTGTTTCACCTGACCTCTTGTGATTGAGGTGGATCATAATAATCAGGCATTTTAGATTTCAGGTTTCTGTCTGATCTGAATGGGATTATATTACTTGTTTGTGCAGTTAAAAGAAGGAAAACCAAAAGCAAATCTTCAGCAACCACAGGGGGAAAAACAAACATGGGAGTGAAGAGATGGAAACGCAAAGTGAGGAAGTCAAAATTGAGAAGAAAACTGGTGAGCTCTCTGCTAATGTATAACCTCTACATTTGAACTTTTTTGTTCTTTATTGATGTTTCTGTAGCCTGTAATTTTTAACACCGATGTTGAAAGCTCTAATATAAATGTTTTGCTGATTGAAAGTATTGCTTTACCTTCTCCATGCAAGAGGGCATGAAAGTTTGTAGTAGTTATGTCTCTGTCATAAAAGTGTGTTTTCTATCTTTTTGCCCTTTCAGGTCATAAAGAAGGAAACCAGTTCCAGAGGTCGTATTGCACGGAGTTTAGGCATTAAGAAGCCCAAGTCTGGCTCCATGATTCCTTCAGTTTATCAACCTTCAGAGTACAGTTTAGGAAGTATGCGGGCCGAAATCGGAGCAGCCTCTCTCTCTGTGTATGGAGATCCCTTTGACCTGGACCCCTTTGATGATAGGTGACGTTTTATTAAGCCTACTGTGGTGGTCTTCTTATTAACAATTTATATTTAACTATTTTTAAGAAGTGAGTGGTTAAGTTTTTGGATTTATCTTTTTAGGGAGGATGAGATTCAAGTTCCGACGCCATCCTCTGTTCTGGATGCTAAACGCCGTGGCCTCTCCTGTTCTGCCTTGCGATCCCATCAGCCTGTGGCCAGACCCATATCTGCCGGACTCTCCAGGTAGCTACTAGAGGGGGGGGGGATCGCTCTTTATGGTCTCGATGGAGGAAACAGATCATTTCTACTTAAAGGTGATGGAAATCACAATGAAAATGAGTTTGAGTTTTGGATAGGTGATCCTAGTTGTGTGCTGGTTTCCAGGGGAGGTGTGAGTGTCCCACAGGTGGAAGATGTTGCAGAGGAAGCCCCAGTATCAGATCTGCTGGGAAGCATCCTCAGTGGTCAAAGCATGCTCCTCATGGACAGTTCAGATGTGGTCATCAACAGAGACGGTTCCCTCAAAGCAACCAAACCTGGTAAGTCATACTTTTTTTGTGAGATCTTTGTATCATCTCTTTACTACTGGCAACCCTCTACACACACTTTGGTAATATAATCACCATTGGCTAGTACATTTTTAGTTTACTCGCCAGACTGATACTATTTTACACACATACATACATACACGCATATATATATATATATATATATATATATATAATTCAATTGATTCATCAAAATTTACCAAGAAAATTCCATA